AAAAAAAAAAAAAAAAGCACCTGGTAAGCCACTCCCACCTTTAAAGACATTGCTTTAATTCACATAGTGTAGGAGAGGCCCTGGGGGCCAAATCTGTGAGAGTGACAACCTGCTACAACCCTCCTGGAAGATGCCACTCTGGAATGAGCCCCGGCAAGAGAGAGTTAAGACAGACTTTCTTTGTCAGCAGACAGCCCAACTCCTTCAATAAAACCCAGGAATCTGACCCCACTATTTCCTCACTGTAGAAAAGGGGGCTGGAACCTAGCAGTCTGCCACCACCATCCTGAGCCACAAGACAAACTGGCTAAGCAGGTGAGGGCAGCTTAGTTCAGAGGTTACAGCAGACACACCTGAGCATAACCCGTAGACTGTTTTTAAAAATTAAACCTTTTATTCTGAGCTGTAGATTCACTCATAGTTGTAAGGAATAATAAAGAGAAACAAGTAACACTTGTCCCAGGAATGGAACAAAAGAGAACCAATCAATGTAATAAAATAAAAAATCCAAGTCCATTTCCATGAAGTTGATTCTGACCCCTGGTGCCCTCATGCGCTACTGAACAGAACTGCTCCCCAGGGTTTGCTTGGCTGTAATCTTAACAGAAAGGAGCTCTGGTAGCGTAGTGGTTACGAATCGGGCTGTGAACCTTAAGGTCAGCGGTTCGAAACTACCAGCCGCTCCGCGGGAGAAAGATGAGGCTTTCTACTCCCGTAAAGATTTACACCCTCGGAAACCCTGTACAGGGTCGCTATGGGTCGGACCCGACTCGATGGCACTCAACAACAACAACAACAACAACAACAATCTTAACAGAAGTAGATTGCCAGGCCTTTCTTCCACAGTCCACGGGGTAGGTTCAAACCACCAACCTTTAAGATTAGTTGTTAGTTGTGGAGCGTAACCCATTTGAACCCCCAGGGACATTCCCACTTTAATAGAAGACAGGAAACAAACAACATGACTGTTTTAATGGATGCATAGAAAGCATCTGACAAAATCCAACACTCTTTAAGGATAAAACCACTCAGCAAGCCAGGAATAGAAGGGAAATGACTCAACATGATAAAAGTTATTCATGAAACACCCACAGCTAACATCATACTCTGTGGAGATGGGCTGAAAGCTCTCCCCCTAACACTGTAAGAATGGTCTGGGGCAGTCTGAC